TCGACCTGTAGGGAGTGTAATGTGTCTGAGTGGGGTATTCATGCTTTACTGCGGCATGGTATCTCAGTGGGCTAGCACTATAAAACCAGCTTTAGTCTGGGCTAGTACAGGCAGCCGCACATGCACATACAGATGCATGCATGTCGTCATATGAGCGAAATATTCTCAAGCACGACGTTAAACCCAATTTCACCTCACCTCACCTTGTAGGGACTGTGTACGATCCCGGATAAACGCACAACAAAGGACAGGCTTGAATCACGTGACAGATATTACTGAAGTCACCTGGGGAACGCTACTGACGTGAAAAGAAAATGTCTGTGTTGAAGTGAAACTTCGGTAAGCAGCCTTACACTATTTGTTTTCATTCTATAACCAACGAAGCTGGCAATTATATGACTTATCACAGTTCAGTTGTACTCTACCAGCTTGAAGCTGTTCAAGTATCTATCATACCACGAGGTAGTTTGTGTATGCTAGGCGTTAACCCCTGGATTTCAGAGGGACATGTATGTCCCTTGTCTTCGACATATACCATGCACATGTTACCTGTTTTTAGGAATCACCCACTGTCTCTGGCAGAGCAACCTCTGGGAAGTTTGTGTACATCACTATGTATCAAATCTTCTGAATTTTTTAGAGATCCAAGACCATGACATTCTAGGCAGATGTTTAATATTAAAGACTGGGAAGCGGGAGTCAGTATCGGTCGCTTCTCAAGTTCAGAGTGACACTTTGAAATGATGTCACATGTTTTAGCTTGCTTCATTGTCTTGCTGTTTACGTGCGCACGCCATTTTCTGACACCTACACGACGCTGCTATTCACAGAACAGAATCTCGTAACGCAAACAGAATTAATTATTTGTCGTAGTGGTTAGTGTTGTCTTAGTGATATCTGTTTCAAACGAAATTAAATTCACAAACAGGTTGATGGTTCAGTACGGTGTGATACGTAGGTGATTGTTAAAAGTTATGTTTATCCGTTGAACGTTTTTCTTAAAGTATTAACATCAGAAATTGACACTTTCAGTACACTGTATTTATAATCGTTAGACATGTGTTAGAAGATGAAACATGTACGTCTCTGTGAAGTATAATAATCAATATTGTAATTCGTATGAACAGGTCAGTATATCTGATTTTATGACGAAATGACTTATAAAACGTTAAGAAAGTGATTAACATATTTGTTAAGTGTACATGCACATACACATATATTAAGAAGTGTCTTGGTCATGGATTTTGTTTATCGATTTATCGACAGAGCAATAATGTCTAATGATTTGCCACGTTTCACGATTTACTCATTCTTTTCTTTCTAAAACTGTACGTGATTTACAACACAGTGACTTACGTTATATTTCTGTCAAACGGGTGCCCGTGTTGTCCACATTTACAAACACAATAAACCTATCTCTTAGTTTATCTATTCAGGATATTATTCAAGTGATCATTTCATGTTCAGTCAAAAGAGTGTCCAGTTCCGACTAACAAACCGAGATTTTGTATTCTTTGAACGATAATAAGGCATACTACTCAACATTTCAATGTTGTCTTGTTCTAACCACCCCTTGGGGAGAAAATGATGTCGGAGTTGTACGGATAAAGTGTTGGTGCAGATATAGCTGGATCTTTGAAGAGTCAGACTCCCAAATTCTAAATAGAAGACATATATTTCAGGGCGATTTCTTTAGTCCTCTGCTCTTCCACCTCATCTTACTCACAGTGAATAGCATTTACCGTCATTGCCAGGGGAGAATCCACTCTGAAGAATATAACAGATTATCCGTCAACCCAGGCTAATTTTGTCAAGCACATATCAGCTGTGTGGTTAAATAATAGGTACATTTCATTTATTTACAGGTGATCTGCCATAACATTTGTGATCGCTAAGACATGTGGATTTATGGAACAATTGTGCTTTGATGTTGTAAGTAACTTTGAATGTTTGAATACGTATTCGCCCATGTCACCCTACTTGCAACAGATGCAACAATTTTGTGCCCCCACAGTGTATATATATATATATATATATATATATGTGTGTGTGTGTGTGTGTGTGTGTGTGTGTGTGTGTGTGTGTGTGTTTGTGTACAACCATCGTAACATAAAAAAACGTAACCATAACTGAATGTTATATATGTACAACGTACAATATGAACTGCCGTGAATGTAATAGAAAGCATACAATTCATGTGTTTACGTTCGGGTCACAGCTGTATAATCAGAAGATAATAACAGTCACTGGTTAGCACTTTCAAGTGCGTTTGTAATTATGGTATGTAAACTGGTTTATTTCGAAATGGAAACGTCACATCAATCAGTATATTCAACGTGGTATATTTCAAAAGTATAACGCTGTTTTTGTGGTTACTATTTCATATACAGTGATATGTTTTCTCGAGCGAAAGTTGACTTAACCATAGATATAACAGGGAGACAATTGTGATGGTTGGATATCTGGTGTTATATGTTTACACCCCCCATCCCCAACCCATCCCTACCCCACAAAAAAACAACATAAACACAAAAACAATAAAAAACAAAAAATAGAAATAAAACAAAGCAACAAAAACCCACCAACAACAACAAAAACATGTACCATGATCATTTCTATAGATCATTGAACTACGTACCAAAGTAGTATGTATTCCTTATCGTTCAAACAGAGAACTGCTTGCGACGCTCGTATTATGGGTGAGTGACTTTGTTAGATTAAATGACAGTTTGAGGAAATAGCGAGTGAAGTAATGTACGCCGATTTTAACATTATTATTGTTCTTTCAGAATGAAGCTTGTCTAGGTTGGAGTATCTTTTGGCTTGGCTGTTATCGTCACGTTCAAGAACACAATGCAACTTTCCACAGTTGTTACATGTACGATGAAGATGTGGTGTCAGATCGACTGCCACTTTGAGGAAACAAACCAAACCAACCTTTGGACGGGATATAAATATATTATCTCAATTTAAACCAAATATAAAATAAATTATATTCATGCCTAAAAATGTCATTGGGTGTCATAACAAGCCGATGAAATCAAGTGTGTACCACTTACATATGTTCATTTCTAATTTCATTCAGATCCTGAAGCTTTGTGCCCCCAAAACATTCATCTGTGTGGTCTTTCTCCAACGTGGCCCAAAGTTGTGGAATTTTAACGTTTCAGGCTTTGTTACGTGTTGAAACTAATACTAGTTAAATGGAGGTAGTCTTGTAGGAACTCGGTGTAAAACCAACAAACAACAAAGAACTGCCTATTCCAACATTAACCAAGTTTAAAAATCACTACAAAGGTATTACAGTGGAAGTAAGAAATAAAGAAGCAGTGCAAATCCAAAGCCAGTATACAAAAAGTATAGCATTAAAGACTGAGATTGTAACCTTCACTTAATTGCAACAGAGATACAGTTTCCCAAACAGGCTGAGTCTCCAGGGTTAGAATGATCTCAACACAATTGCTGGTTTTCGTGTAACTTGAAATGTAAGGTGAGATGTGACGCAATCTCCAAAAGAAAACCTCCAAAATGATAAATTCAATGAGAAAGTTAAAGTTTTTGTTCAAAAGAACAACGCTAAATAAGATCTACACTGTTTTCATTCGTCCTCATTTTGAATGTGCGTGTGCATTATGGGAGGGTGTACAGCTGATCAAACTAACTCCGTAGAACAGTTACAATTAGAAGCAGCTCGTACAGTGACAGGGCTTCCAAAATATACTTCTCGTGATCATTGGTATTCTGAAACTGGTTGGGAAACCCTTAGTGAACATAGAAGAAAAAGACAACTTTGCTTATTTTATAAGACTCTTCACAATATCGCACCATCATACCTTCAGGAATTACTACCTACATATGTTGGTCAAAAAATAACTCTTTAAACTTCTTCCTTCCATTTACGAGATTGAAACTTTCCCTATCATCTTTTTTTCCATTTACTATACGAATGTGGAACAAAGTTCCCATAAAAATAAGAATTATAGATTCTTTAGCAGGTTTTAAATTGAAAATTCAAAATAAAATAAATGCAGCCCCACCTTTCTTTTGGTCTGGTACAAGGATTATTCACACAAAACTAAGGTACAATACAAGTCCGCTTAATTACGATTTATTCAGAATTAATTTAAGATCAGATGCTTCTTGAACTTGTGGTTGTTCTTGTGAACATCCATGGCATTATCTTATAGAATGTTCTTTTACACAACGCAGCGTAAAGATTTTTTGAAAATAAAAAAATACTGTCGTTAAACATCGCATACCCATTAATCTAGATTTATTGTCATTTGGTCATGTTACATTATCACTATATGGAAATGAATTATTATTTGACTGACTGACTGAGTTTGGTTTTATGCCGCTTTTAGCAATATTCCAGCAACGTCACGGCGGGTGACACCAAAAATGGGCTTCACATATGGGGATTCGAACCCGGGTCTTTGGCGTGACGAGCCAACGCTTTAACCACTAGGCTACCCCACCGCCCAATTATTATTTGAACATGTATATAGATATATAAGCTCACTGAAAGATTTTTGTAGGTTTATTCTTGTACTATACTATACTATACTATACTATACTATACACATCCTCTTTAAATACCCTGTAAATTCCTTCCACAAATCCCTGTTGTCATTGTTTTTTATATTGTAAATGTGAAATATATAACTTCTGGGAGAGGGCGTTCTTAAGTTGGATAACTTGTGCCCAATCCATTTCATTTTCGAATAAGATATGTTTAAAACCAACGAAAATATACTCAAACATTTCATTAAGAATACTGTTAGAAATGTGATAGCAACTTCATAAGTAGTTAAGCGACCGAGCAGGGGGAAGAATAAAGTTTGATTGTCCGGCCTATTTGCAATCTGATCCCCCGCTATGAGGTTTTCGACATATCATTTTCAAATGAAATTTGCAAATGTCTTCGGAATACGTACACCGACAAACAAACCTATGTTGAAGAGAGTGTTTATTGTTATGTTATACAATGAACCACCCGTCAGTCGCAAGGCGAGTTATAAATACATTAGCTGCACTAAGCCGGGTGTAACGCACAAGGACAGGACAGGCTTGAATCACGTGATATTACCACAGGCAACGGGGACGCTACTGACCTGAACTGAAACTGGCTATGTTGCAGTGAAACGTTGGTAAGCAGCATTGTACTATCTGTTTTCATTTTTAAACCGACGAAACCGGCAATTATATGACTACTTCTCAAACGTTTACAATAAAACTAGCCTGTTGGGGTGTTTGAGATAAGCCCGAACACGAACGCGGAAGTGTTCCGCCATATTGGATAGTTGGATACAAAATCATGTATCGCGAAGACCGTTCCTGAGTCGCCTATTTCATCATGTATATTTACATATTCAGCCACAACACGCGCATCACCGGATTCCCTCATACATGATGACATTGACCTTCATTGCCAAGGGAGAAGCCACCCTGAACAACAAAGCAGATTATCCGTCAAGCCCTTTTGCAACGACAGTATATGTCCTTCTAGCTCGACAGATGCAAACTTATCCATCTCATTCAACCCAGGCTAATTGTGTGAAGTATATCTCAGTTGTGTGTTTCAATACAAAATACATTTCATTTATTTATAGGTGATCTGCCAAATGACATATCAACGCTGAAACATGTGGATTTATGGATCAGTTGCGTTTTTATGCTGTAAGTAACTTTGAACGTTTAAATAGTATATTACGTATTTCTTTCATATCACCCTAAATGCAACAAGTGCGACCCACCAGATATATATATATATATATATATATATATATATATATATATATATATATATATATATATATATATATACGATAACAATGTCAAAGGTAAACTTTAATGGAGGGATCATGAGACCATAAAAAGCCGGGAGAATTTCAATTGAAAAGTCAATCACAAGGACGTCACGAGTCCACAAGCGGGACAGGGGTCAAACGACCATGTCACAAGCTCAATAACGGGTATGTCCACCATCGGCATTGAGAACAGCAGTGCATCGACGACGCATAGAGCCTATCAAACGTGCAAGGAAGGCTTGTGGGATGTCACGCCAGAGTCTCTCAAGTTCTGTTGCGAGGTCAAGGACGTTATCTGGCGGATGATAAAGACGGCGTAGACGTCGATCCATCTCGTCCCAAACATGCTCTATCGGGGAGAGATCCGGTGAATTTGCAGGCCAAGGCAGTAAGTCAGCGTTGTTGTGTTGCAAGAAATCCATAGCAACCCTTGCCGTATGAGGGCGGGCATTGTCCTGTTGGAATGTTAACCCAGGCCCATGACGTTGCAGAAAAGGAATTGCCACAGGTCGAAGAATCTGATCCCTGTAGCCCACACCAGTTAAGCTGCCCTGAACAATCACCAAAGGAGTTCTTTGGCGTGCTGTTATTCCACCCCAAATCATCACGGAACCACCACGAAAGCGATTCCTCTCCAAGACACAGGCATGTGCATAACGTTCTCCCACGCGTCTATAGGCACGTTGACGTCCATCACTATGGGAAATGTTAAACCTGGACTCATCTGTAAAAACAACATTTCTCCACCAAAACACGGGTCTGCGGACATGATTTCGGCACCACATTCGGCGAGCTTGTCGATGACGTTGTGTCAGGATAGGCCGTATGGCGGGACGTCGGGGTCTGATTTCGTGATGACGTAAACGTTGTCGAACTGTGTTGGGGTGGATACGGTGAAGTCCTGGGATGGTTCGGGCAGTCATCACTGCAGTCTGAAACCTGTGGCGAACATGGGTCACCCTTATCCATCTGTCCTGTCTTGGCGTTGCTAAACGTGGACGTCTAGAACGTGGCCGATCGATGACGTCATTTGTGTTCTGCTAGCGTCTCACCAGTGGAGAAATGGTGTTCCGGTGGCAGTGGAAATGTGCAGCCACTTGTCGTTGAGACATTCCCCCACGGACCATCCCAATGGCCTCATGATGTTGTGCAGACGTGAGCCTTGGCATGCTATACGTTTCAATAGCCGTTTAATTTTTTGAACGATGGCAAGGGCAGGGGTTGAGCTTTCCAAAGTGACAGTATTGTGTGGCATTCATTTGCTCTGTTTCTCTTTCCCGGAATGCACGTGCAACAACGTATTGCACGTCTCAAGGACGAACCCACTGACGTCACGGAACGTGGCACGTGCATGCATGTTGGATACATGTCACTATTATGTGTCTACACAGGTTTGATAAATATATACTTTAAATTTGTGTATGCACAGTTTCTTTATGTGCCTAGTATATATATAGTCACTGGTTAGCAGGTTGATGGAAATTTCATATTAATCACTACATTCAACGTGTTATATTTAAAAAATACAGTGTTCATTGTGAGGGTACTACTTCATAGATAGTGATATATATTGTCTCAAGCGAAAGTCATACTTGGCTATAAATATAGCAGAGAGACACATCATGAAAATACGTGTCAAAGTAGACTTTGCTAGATCGGAAAACAATTTGAAGAAATAGCGAGTGAGTTAATGGGTATTATTTTACGCCGAATTTAACGATATTCGAGCATTATGACAGCGGTGGACACCAGAAATGGGCCTCACACACTCACACATTGTACCCAGGTTTATAATCGAACCTGGATATTCGGCGTGACGAGCGAAGCTTTAACCACTTGGCTACCCTTCTGCCCCTTGAGAAAATATAGTCCAGAAATGTCATGCGATCTTCTTTGTTTATTGTCGAATGATGTACCCTTCAAATTTCTGGCTATATAACCACAGCCTACATGTAATTAACCGATCTCAACCAGACATTCCAGTTAGGCTGTGGGCCGAACCCAAAAATTATGTCAAAGTGCTTCAACATATCTGGTGAATACAAAGTTAGGGCTCTGTAATTAAGTTTGTTATTTATAAAGCCTAGTAAAAAACCTTTCTTGTCAAATCACTTGCACATTGATTATTGTAAAGCCTTAGAATGGAAAATTCTAAAACAGTGAATCACCATGGTTGCAAGGTATGAATGGCCAATCAGAATTCAGGAAGCAGCTATTTTGTGCGGTACTGCAAAATGGCCGCTCCCATGGCTGTTGAATGTTTTTGTCACATTACTGACATTGAAATTGGGGATTTACGTCCATTTACGTATATAACATGGGCAAAAGTGAGGGAGTGTGTTGAATATGGAAAGAACTGGATGGCATTGAAAATTCTGCAACAGTACATACAGCTTCTTATCATTTACTGATTAGCCTACTGACTAGCACTGAGAGAGCTTTGAAATGAAAAATCAAGGGTTGTTTGCAGAAGGTAGGATAGATTCTCCTCCTAACAACGTGCTGAATTATGCCTTAAATAGTAGATTAGGTAATGATTAATGTGATCACTGTACATGCTTTACTGTGTTGACTATATGTTAGCTTCTTATTCATTATTTCAGACAGTTTAATGTAGGAACACTAGATAACTCGGTGCTCTCTTCACAGCTAAGACAGAGGTATATTACAACGTTTGTTAAAAGCCTTACACTCTATATTCTTCAGTTAATCTTTTAGAAAATACTAACTTTGATACTGTACAAGCTTTTGTGCTATATCTATTTAATGTTTAAAAGCTGTTGCGTTATATCCATTTAATGTTTAATGTTTGTAAGATCAGTTTGCCCCTGGAGACATTACTTTTTAATGTATTTTGAGCCTATGGCTTTTTACTGGAAATAAACTCTGGCTCTGACATTCAAATCATCAGCATAATGTGTATTAATGACTCATATGTTCCAATCTGCGGATATTTCAAAAGTGTAAATAATGCTTCGTGTCAGATATCTTTTCAGTGATCAAATATGTTTCTAGAAAGCCGAAACTGACAGAATGTGGGTCCGTTGTCATTCAAATTTGATAGTTTCATGTGATATATGGAATGCGTGTGCATCATTTCTGTCAATTACATTTAAGAAATTAATTCCATTGCATATATGTAATATATGACATTGTTTATGTCAGTGATTAAAATGTCTTGAACAATATTCTTTTTGAATTTTTCATTTACATGATTGGTCGTGTAGTGATCAACATCCTGATTGGTGATTTTTTTATTCAAGAAATTTGAATTTTAACAAATATGGACTAATTATGAAATTATGAAAACATTTCTAATGTTTTTACAACATTACTATTGCATAAGTACCATAAAAGGCTGTTACCAACAGGCCAAGGTCAAGGCCGTGTAATCAGATTACGGTCAGGGGGTACCCTTCTTTCAGGAGCTGACAAATTTTGATTCTTATCAAGCACATCGTGGGAATAATTTTGATATATAGTTCTTGTATTCACCACGTATGTTGAAGTACTCTCCTATTTCTAGAGGCCCTACAGATTTCGGCTCGTGGCCCAAGTGAGTCGATGAGTGACTGACTTACCAGCATGTATCTACGCGATAACAATAATAATAACATCCATAACATAACATAATTTTCACTTGACATTCTACCCATTTACAGAATCTATTGTAGACACACCCACTGACATTTGCACCCCAACCAAATGCAACACAGCATCAGCATACTTTTCCTCCTGGTCAACAAGTCATTGTTTTTTTATTTTCAATTGTTGTGTCGAAATTCAGGTATTTGGCGCCAGTCTATCGCCCGCCTGGATGTTGAGAAGAACAGTCTCGGCATGAGACTGATCCTTCATGATCATATCCACTATAAATGTTTGTATATGTTTGGATGGTTAGGACCTAATTTGTTCACCTTCCAATGCCAACCCTCTAAGTGGTTAGTGGTGCTGGAAAAAGTTGTATGAAAGTGGTTCCCCTCACTACGCCCATCCTCCTTGACCCATTGTTCGGTTACATAGTCAGCGAATTCCACAATCCTCGTATCTTGAAGGTAAACATTCCCAAGGGCATTCAACCAGATGTCGTCAATATCAGGTGGGTGGATGAGAGGCAGGGCAGAGGCATGACGGATGAGTCTATTTGTTGAAGAGTGTCTGGACACCACATTTCTGAGCATTTCTCCAAATCGCTTGACGGTAGTGGAACATACAGTTGGCTAGTGAACACATTTCTGGCAGCTTGTTCAAAGTCTGTGAAGATTGCCACTGGTGCCAAAGGAATGTTGTTCCCGGCAGCTTTCTGTTTAACGATCTGGAAGAAGTCCATGAACTAGAGGTAGCATCTTATCATTAACAGCAGCATGGATGATATACAGTTGATGGTAGATTTCTGGGCACATGGCAAGGGTACCGTCGCTGTAGTAGTTGTCTGCCATGGAGAGGTATCTCAGATTGTCAGTGGTTGTGTAGATGAACATCTTTAGCCCTGGTGAGAATTCTGTCCACCTTGGACAGCAAACAGAACATATACTTGAACGTTTTCTATTTTGCAATGACCAATGTGACAAGAACTCGCACATCGTGGATTTTTCTTCTTTGTGAGGGAGAAAGGAAACATGGTGAATATTAACCTTTTGAGATGTACAGTGAGAAGACATGGTTGCTGTAGCCAGACTTTCAGACCCTGCCCTGACAATTCAAAATATGCCTAAAACTAGAACAATATTTTGAAATTGATTATATGACCTCACATATGAAATATTTATATTTTGTTGTGATCACCTTAGTACTTGTTAGCAGCTTCAACGTATCCTAGGAATAAAAACCTTATGGCTCAAAACTATGAAAACAATTTGATAAGCATAACCTAAAAAGTGTTAATACTAAAAGAACTAGAAAAATTCAAAAAGGTTACGCCTACAGGAAACAGCTTGAGTAAAGGTACTTGTGACGGGGTTGTGGGTTTTGTCTGGATCAAGCATCAAATTTGTTTTATTTGACAAGGTATCAAAGCAAGATAAGACTAAGAAAGAACAAGAAAACATCTACTGGTGTTAAGGTTAATAATTTGCCGTGACAAAAGGTTTGCCCACTTTGAACCAGCAAAATAGAACACAGACAAGTCTAAAATATTCAATAATATATTGAACAAACAATGAACAAGCTACAATGAATGACAATACAGCATTTTTAGTACAATGCAATTGAGTCATGAATCTAAAATATTGGGTTACAAATATAAGATATTATCTCACCAGTCACATTCACAGTAGAATGAAGGTTGTTTAGAATAACAGCAGTTGAAAAGATAAGCACGGTCGGTCTTGAAACGTTGATAAACTTGATGATCATGATGATGGCAGACATATGTGTATAAATCCAGTTATGTGTTAGCCCCGTCGCACAACTCAACAACCGGCCTTTATATAGCTCTTACACAGTTCTCGAGCATTCTAGCAAAGAACGGTATGGAAAGCTATCGAAAACTCCACGGCATGACGAAAGCCGAAAGTCAACAAGATAAACAAATACAACAGATTGCCAAAGGCAGGTAATTCCGAAGCACTATCAAAAAGGCGTGGCGCTAAAAAAATACTATTGCCATTGACCATATATGATCCGAGATGCGAGCTAAAACTCAAAATTTTAAACATTGTGACCCATAATAACTATCACTTAATCAATGTGATATTACAAATTACGAAAAAGAACACTCTCATAACACTAGTAACCTGGGAACAAGACTATTTTCGCAGATATAAACAAGAGTCGGACCCAACATATTTTAAAGAACAAATCATCTGACATTTAAAGTCAAGCTTGATTTTTTTAGACTAAGTCCAAATTGTTTCCATGGAAATCATGAAAAATATAAATGACAAAACTCTGTAAATAGCAAAAGGCACCACCTCAAGATCTGCCTCATGTATATGCCAAGTTTTACTGAGAGATATTGAACGGTTTTCGAGTTGTGCTCCGGAAACGGAGCCCAACCCTCCCTTTTTGAGACTATGTCCGAATCGTTTCCATGGAAACCGAGAAAAATAAAAGTGACAAAAATGACAAAAATGACAAAAGTGACAAAAAATAGCAAAAGGCACCACTTCAAGATCTGTCTCATATATCTGTCAAGTTCTGTTGAAAGATACTGAACGGTTTACGAGTTGTGGTCCGGAAACGAAACCCACCTCTCCCTTTTGAGACTAAGTCCGAATCGTTTCCATGGAAACCGGGAAAAATAAAACTGCCCAAAATCTGCAATTAGCAAAAGGCACCACTTTGGGATCTGTCTAACATATCTGCCAAATTTTGCTGAAAGATATTAATAAGTTTTGAGTTGCGCTCCGGAAACGAAACCCACCCCTTCATTTTGAGACAAAGTCCGAATCGTTTCCATGGAAACCAAGAAAATAATATAGCACAAAAAAATCGGTTAATAGCAAAAAGGCATGACCCTAGGTTCTGTTTGATATATCTACCAAGTTTTGCAGAAAAATATTGAACAGTATCTGAGTTATGCTCGGGAAACGAAGCCCACCCCTCCTTTTAAGACTAAGTCCAAAACTTTTCAATGGAAACAAAGAAAAATATAAATGACAAAGATCTGTAAGTAGCAAAAGGCACCACCTTAGGTTCTGTTTGATATATCTACCAATTTTGTTGCAAAATATCGAACGGTTTTTGAGTTATGCACCGGAAACAAAATGACTAAGGACGGATGGACGGCAAAGGCGTCGACTGTATCACCCGGGCATGTAATGCCGGGGGGGGATAAAATGTGATAAATATTTGTAATCTAACAACGTTAAATAATTCAAACAGTGTTGACAAAGACCATACGTTTCCATGGAAAAAAAACATCGAATACTGTAAGTGCTGTCCAACGTAAACACTTTGTCTAGATCGCAGCATTACAGCCGAAAACAAATGCTAGTAAAAAAGGCCATATTTTTCATGAACACTTATGATCTCGACGCATTATCAGTACAGGCACAAAGGATAGATGGACAATGGTGTTTAGTTTCTCTAACTGAAAAGACTGTAACCTCTGATAAAGTGGGTATTTTTACTTAGGTAGTGATCTTAAGTTTGTGAACATGTCCAAGGAATCTCATCATGTTCTTTCACCTACAGTTCTATGACATCAGTTTGCAGTGGTTAGCTAGTGAAGTTTCACAGAGAGCATAAACTGTACAGGAAATATCTATGATTGCCACAAGAAAGTCACATAACTTAAACTGCGTTCATCCTCCATTGTTTGACTTCATTCCAATCATTGGAAGACTTCCAGATTGCTTCACTTGTTTTATGCATATCAGATCAGATGCACATAGCATCTAATCACAGAACTGAGGGTTTTGGACAATGTTCAAAGATGTAATAGTGTGAACATCAGTGTCTCTAGTGTTCACAGATTTGTGCAGGGTCTTGGTGTAGAATTTCATTTCAAGAATGATAAAGCTTCAGAAACATTCATGTTCCGAGATTTTACCTGATCAGAGCATAGAAAGATTTCCCAGTCTATTCCCATAGCAGACTTTCTTCCAAGTCACCCAGGAGTGAAGGAAATATGTTTTCTGTGGAGTGAATCCTCATCTAGCTGCACCATTCTTGTGAAACCTATATTTGAAGAGTCTGAAATTGCCTCACAGTGAAAAGTACAAGCAGTGGGTACAGACATTTGTATTATGGTTTATCAAACTAATGATCCGACATCATGGAAATCTGAGGAACTTTTCACAATAATTATGATAAAAGCTAAATGACACTGTTTCATCATGGTTTCATCAAGTCACAAAGTAGAGAAGCATTGAAGCAGATTTTGTTAAGACAAAATAGAATGGTTTCTTACGACATGTTTAGAAGTTGCATGAAAATAAAGTTTACTTTATGTCAAGGGCAGTGTCACAACAGGCGGTCATATACAAACAAGAAGAGATCTAGCTGACTAGAGTGGACTCCCAGACTCGTCATGGTATATATGAGCAAATACTAGTGTATAGATAAGAGTGTTCTCTTTTATAATAGGAATGACTATTGACTTTGAATGACAGGTTTTTCATACGCTGATAAACAGGGTGGTTTTTTTACTGAAACTGGATATTTGCAAATAGATCTAAGTAGTTTAAGTCTGTCTGAACGGTATCCCTTCTTGTGTTGCATTCCATTAACACTTCCTTATCTGTTTTACTTCTGATAAACCAATATATTGTATGTAGATCCGTTGAAAGTGCTATTTTTGCAGGTAATGTTCCTTTGTTAAAACGTTTTGTTAAAACCATTTGCTCAGACAGTGAACAGAAAGTGTACAAATGGGATTATATTTACCGCATTTTATATTAGCCAATTTGATATGGCTATCTCGTTGTAACAATTTCTTAGTCAAACCTTACATGTTTTTCCATATTGAAGGGTAGCAGGTAAAATAATTTTACAGATTTATCTCTATAAATAAACCGTCAGGAAGGAACAAGTGAAGGCTTTCAATAACAGATTCTTGTTCTTGGTTCATGGAAAAGGCAGCTCTTAAACAGTGAATTAAGTTGGATGTCAGCGTGTTACTGGCGCGGACCCATGCAGAATCGGGTTTTGTTTTCTCATTTCTTAGTTCATAGTTCCTGGGTGTGTTTAAATTCAACATGTACACATACTGCATGTTGGGGCTAATTTCTTGTTTTGGTACGGTCCATTTAGTTTTAGTTTTTTAACATATTCCTGTGGTGGAACAAAATGTTTTCCACTACTCACATTTTGTTCTGAAAAAGTAGGTCACAAGACGAAATGTAGTGACATGTTTTGACTTGTGCGCTATTACAATACATATGCATTAATTCGTAAATTTAGTTCATCCTAATATCAACGTCTTAATTGTTAAACAGTTCATCGTTTACTGGTGGTTTCACGCTGAATTTGCGTAACTGAATTCTGGCGTAACTGTCCTGACATTGAAGTATGTGTCTAAAGGGATATGTTTTCTGTGCTATGACAAAAGTTGAACTGCAAATCACCTTTAACATATTTCAGATCTGACTGTACAAGGTGAAGAGGAATGTGAGCCTGGAAAATATGGGGATGCTTGTAGTCAAAATTGTTCTCAAAACTGTGAACCTTTCCCCAGTAACATAGTGCTCTGTCACAAAGAAACCGGAGAATGCTTCGAAGGATGCAAAGCTGGTGTGTACGGTGACCTGTGTAATGAACCGTGCAGCAAAAATTGCCAAGGACACGTCTGTAATCAGCACAATGGACATTGTACACTGGGCTGTATAGGAAATCACATCGGCGACTTCTGTGAGACTTCCCAAGAGATTACCACCATGCATCAAGGTAAAACAATTTTAAACCATTAATGTAAGATGAGAGAAAGCAGAATATATAATGTGAACGATGACAAATGTGAAATTCTATTTCTAATATCATCTTGATACACTTAATTCAAAAGCTGTATTATATGTTAATAGATGTACAATGAGTGTCATGTATAAAATGTTACCAAGATGTGTGGAACTGCTAAACCGCTATCGTCCCTTCTGTTCTTACACATCCGTGGGTGAGAAACCCATGTGAGAAAACTGGTATCACACATATGTGTGAGATCGATTTCTAATCCCGTGATTGGCTACTCCACGGTGATGACCTAGGGTCAGATTATGACGGACTACTTTCCTTATTACAATTCATTGTGAGTAACTCATGCTGCAATCGAACAGAAACCTGTTACTCGTGACAAACACCTTATCACCTACCTGCTATTTTCCCGATCACAACATTAAACGGGTATTTACACAATAAAACACACTTAGAATAAATATAACACGAATCTAGTTATTTTCTAATTCGTTTGTTAAAACTTTTGATTCTAGTCATGGATTCAAAATGGCTCGAACATACAGTCAGTGATACCCTAGTAAACAATAATGTGAACATCGCCGTTAGAGATAAAGGCTGAGATTCCCTTCGAATATTCAAAATGTACAACATTGGTAATTTTACTGGAGAAATGCGACAAGTGTCATGCATCGTCTTACAAAAATATCCGACAGGATTACTTTAGTCCATTGTGAGAACGATTTGCCTCGTGGTTTCTCTGATGACGAAGATGACATTTTTCACTAAAACACACGATGATTCTTTCGATAAAGATCCACTTCCAGCTCCGAGCTACTATGTGATTCATCAAACCCTCATGACAATCAGAACCAAAAACACACTCGTTGAAACAATGTACAACATAAAACGTTTGCAAGGGTTCATGAGTGCAAGTTGTGAGACGCGTCCTTTCGATTCACTCGAACATGCACAGTGAACGGTTAATCAATGTTCAACATAAGTCATTGCTTAAGATATTCCTCCGACGCATGATAATGCAAAGTTCATGTCTTAATAACATACATGATGTAATCAACTCACATCTCATACTGACAACTCCGTAAATTTCGTAACATTCCAAATGGCAGTTTGTAGCTTGGGAAAACGAGAAAGCTGTGGCGAAGAAGAGTAGTCGCCCATTGATAGTGAACGTAACCTTAGCAATGTCACATTCAAGCACACGGGATACACCTAATTACACACATTCAATAATTTTGGCTCCAGTCGGTGGGAGAACATTGAACGTAAACTGGTACACAAGTACAGATCCCCAATGTGCAGAGATATCCAAACAATCTTCCGATGACGACAACCACCAAACGATATGATGACGTCACACGTTCAAATATTTTATGCTTGAAAGAATTAAAATCATCCTCATTTACATGGTAGCATTATCGTTATAGAGTGTTTAATCAATTTTCTGTGATGTTATCTAGTTTGCATTGTCATTATCGCCTTGATGACGCAAAGATGTGGCAGAAACTTTTTTTGTGGAGGGTCACTTTGGGAATGAGTAGTGATTAGGAAGCCAAGTGACTTCACTCATTCATAAACGTTGTATTGTGTATTATTGCGCAACTACGGTGAGAAAATATGAAAATTAAATATATTTGACCATAAAATGGTGCGATTTTATGGTGTGTAAGAAAAAGGTTACTGTACTCGTGTCTGTCAGATACCATTTATCTTACAGCTCGTTGTTTCAAAACGTATTCACAGGTGTGGCACCGACAAGCAGTTCCCAGGTCGTCATTCCAGTTGTTGTAACAGTACTTGTCCTTATCCTTGTGGGCGCAGTGGTTATCTTCATATGGTAAGTTCTAACAAACACTTTGTTTTGTTCATTTGCTGTTTATCGCCATTTGACAATATGCCAGTTTTATGATAGTAGCCAGTAATTAATTCACCATCAGATAGGTAGAGGATGCCAAACGCCCTTCCGTGTAATACCATATTTATCATACGAGTTTAATTAAAAATGATATTTCACGTTAGCGAATTTAGTATTCTGTCTATTACTCTCAAACATAAATTGATAGAATCTGACTACAGTGGGATGGATCTCAGCAAGGTTCAATACCACTATGATATAGGTAATAGCAGTGAGATGTCATAACTATGATATGATACGTCTAGCAATATTACACTAGTGTAATATTAGCGTAGAAATAGTACACTACATTATCTTCCACGGGCGAGTACTAATAATTGACAGTCAACCAGACAATCCATATCATGGACATCGATCCACACAACAGGCACCGAGTGACAGCATCAGTCATATTAACCAGCCGATCCCATTAATCGGGACAAAATACAGACTTGAACTGAACATCCCGCCTTATTTAACAATCATTGTGATGTGCCTATCTGGTCAAGGATAAGAGTGACCTGTGTGCCTTGATGGGAGTATCCTTTGACTGTTATCGTCAGGTTCAGGGTTACCACTTGTGACAGTTGATAGGAAAGCGAATTAGTAATTGGGAAATATCCAGAACACTAGGTTTTCATTAAACATGATTCATCAAGAAGGAAATACACAATGTGGAGCTCCTCCGATAGATGAGTGCACGATCTGCGACAGTGAATAAACCATAACCACAATAAACTAAACACATCATGAGTGAAACATGTTGAAACCCAGGTCATCGCCACAGTACTTGTACTGTACGGTATTTATCGAAATAAGATTAATGAATTCATGAAATCTCAAAGAATAGCTTGGCTTGGTATTGCTTGCCTGTCTTTTAACATCATACTCAGAAGAATTCCAGCTATATGACAGTGGCCTTACAATAATCGTCCTATATTCATGTCATGATCATCGACACACACAGCTGTGATATGGTGACAGCATCACCAAGCCAGATGGACCACCCCATCTCGATCTTAACTGACATGGGTTACTGAATACCAATTTCTAACAAGATCTGCACGAGACAATATTTATTATACGCCGATAGCGACGCATTGAAATGACAAATTTATTTCGAGCTGCGTCACATGAAAAGAACATGTGAAAAATAACAGCTCAACTAAAACAATACTACCGATTGATATTACTTGCAATGATGTGCAGTTTATTGTGACATACCCCTGAAGAGTCTTGCCGGGAGTATCATTTGGTGGCGGTTGAAGTCACAAAGATAAAACAAAGAACACATACTACAATTGATGCAAAGAGGAGTTATTGATGAGTAAAAGTTCCTGTAACATTACGTTTCCATTAAACATTATTGATAGTGGAGACATATTCAAGTGGGATTCACTCTTCTAGGTAGGTGCATTTGACAAAATACATAGAATATCAGACGTTGGTTGGCCGGTTGGTTTGGTTTAATTTACGTCGCACGCAGCAACATTCCAGCAGCATGGCGGTGGTCTGTAAAAATATGGACCAGGCAATCCAGTGATCAACATCGTGAACATAGATCTACGCAATTGGGACACGATGACATGTGTCAAGGAAGTCCGCGAGCCTGACCATCCGTTAGTCGCCTTTAACGACAAGCAGTGGTTGCTGAAGATCAGTTCTCACCCGGATCTTCAAGCGTTTACAAAGTCAGACGTGGGTTACATTATTGTAAATGTTTAATACCAAAACGATGCATCATCTGTCTGCCAAAGTACGTGTACTGTGATTTCTTCCACATGTTCACCACCTGAATTCCCATGCTTTTCCACGTGTCTTCTTTCATACAGAACATGCAGAAAAGTTCGGGCATTTTAAGCGTAAGAAATAATTATTAGAGAAGTGTCGGCTATTACCGAACAAAATGTAATTTCCGTAATGTTTCTCAAATTTCTGATCGTGACACTTGTCTGCTTTGAACATAGCTTGACGGCGAAACTTCCTTCCCCAGCAAGAATATCGATTAACTTCGAAAAATTCAACGCAAAGAAAAGACAGAAACACAAAAGACAAACAATGGACATTGCCTCTTACACGTGTAATGTATGTATGGGCAATGGGAGATCTAAGCCAACGGCTCTGTTCAAATCCAGGATACCTTGAGCTCTTTCTAAAAAGACTTTCTAATGCATGACTTTGTTGGCAATGCATTGATTGTACAGTACAAACAACAGTAGCACCTCGCAGGTTCGCCCTGATGTCCTTACCGAACAAGTCTCGCTGGCTTCAAAATCACGATGGGAAGAAACATAAAACACGATAATTGTGTCTCTATTTTCCATTAGTCTTGCAGAATTGCCTTAATACTAACATATGGCAGAACAAAGCCCTACTTGCACATCTGATGTATTCACTTAGTATATTTTATGTTTAAGCCAAGAAAATGCAGCACATGTCCGGTTGGACAAAAATGTATCAAATGAACAACATAGCAAGAATCGTCAACGCTGAAACGTGTCCTGCTCTAACGCACTGTCATTATTTCATCATGGATCACCTCACATGGTCCCGGCTATGTCGTACTCGTAAGCTAATTAGGAACAAACTGGAGACAGCAACTCCAAATATAAGTTTGCGGAACAACTGGCTTGGTCTTCTATAACAAGTTGGTTGGGACATGGGGGCGGTGGGGTAGCCTAATGGTTAACGCGTTGGCTCGTTACGCCGAAGACCCGGGTTCGAATCCCAACATGGACACAATGTGTGAAGCCCATTTCTGGTGTTCCCCGCCGTGATGTTGCTGGAATATTGCTAAAAGCGGCGTAAAACCAAACTCAGTCAGTCAGTCAGTCAGTGGTTGGGACATGCCATAAGCGTTTGACATTTTTTACCGTGACCTTATTAAGATGTCAAAGACCGTTAATCCCACGGCTTTGATACTTAGATGAGAGTGCTTTCGCTTCCCATGTGCATTCTTCTGAATGTATCAGACATTTAAACAAATATTTATCAAATTTCAATTTCGTAAGTCAATGTTAGCCGATACCCAAATGCCACGAAAGGCCATACATTTGTTTGTCTACAATAATAGTGTTTGCTTGGTCCTATTATACAGAGGAAATAATATATTTTGAACGACCGCAATTATAATCAGCACTGTTCATGTTGAAATAAGTAATTCCATGTGTTATTACTCCCTCACATCATGAATCAAAATACATCCCCTTCCACGCTTCATCAGTTATAACCCGTGAAGATCCGGGTTAGAATTGATCTTCAGTAACCCACTTACTCATCAGTTATATGATCGATCCCGTAACAAGTTCTGCAGATCAGCAATTTATCCAGGAGACAGTAAAGTATTTGTAAATTGTTTCAATTTAGTAATTGTTCACCAAAGTACGTTTGTACCTTTGAAAAGTTGACAAATATTGTCTGCAAAAACCTCGATCAATCGTCCGTAATGTAATAAAGTAAATGGTGAAAAGTATTTATGATATATTCTAGCAAGAAAGGTATGTTTAACAATATAAATTTGTATACATGCATTGTTATATTTCACAAACTACCGACGATGTAAAATCATGTTTGTAGCTTTTGACAGGCTTGGAACAGTACTCGATTTAACAGGGTTATCCTGAGCAGACTGTAAGCAACCAATCAAATAACAAATGTTACCTTCTTGCCCAATTTGACATTTCAATGTACCCCGCTGTCAATGGCAACCCATTTGGTACTTCGTGGTTATCTCGAATAACATTGAATCACGTATGATGTGCGGAAATTACCGATGTTTATGAATGCAAATCGATGGAAGGGAGATAACTCTACATCTATTTTTCTTGTCGCATTGTCTGCAAATCTAGCATGGCTACGAAAGGTTTGCCTCGCATTCCAATGAAGATATTATGACAAAACGTTCAAATGTAGTATAGCCCGTGTGAATACTAAGAAGGGGAATTACACCGCGGCGACTTTACCAGACAATACCTGCGGGAAAAACAGCAAGATGCAAGATTCGAATCGTTTGATTCACACAGGTTGCTGAAGTGTAAGATCCGATACCGTGCTTCAAACAGTTCAAAGTTAACATTAAGGTGTTCGGTAAGATAAATACGTTGTTCACTGGTCCCTTGGGCTCAGGGAACATAAACATACATCGAGGGTACATCAACCCATGTCCCCCCTCGTGACCAGTGAGCAACTTATAATATTGAAGTCCATTCGTTCATTCCCAATACTGCCTGGAATTGTTAGCATATACTGGACAATCGGTCCTGTGTCTCTAATATGCATATTGCTTTAACAGGAACGATTAGAGAGTTTATTAACTTCATGTTCACGTAGAAAACAAATGACAATTCGGCCAAGTAATGGCACTTCATCCACTGCTAATTTGTTATGACACACAGTTGGTTCGGAAAAGACCCACCTGTTCGGACAGTCCGACACGTTTCTACTTGTAATAATTATACCGTACAAGAACAAAGAGTTACACAACCTGTAGTTTATTTGATACACTTATATGTCGATTGAATAAATATGTGATTCAATCTTAATCACAAAACATGATTCATAGTGGCATGCCTGTAAATAGGGTGGCAAGCTGCTTGTTACAAATAATACAGTCGAAGATGATGTTGTATTGCCAAATACTCTCGTTTAATGTTGAACTAGTTTACAAAGCCTCATCTCAGTACATCAACCCCATCCATTGTACATACATCCACCTGGCTTCCTTTCCGTTGTATAAGCTTTAATTCAGTCCTTGTTTGTCACCCTACTGGCTTCTTATCAACTTATTCAAGCTCTCATACAAACGTTGTACATCAACCTCATCTATTGTATAAGCAACTCATTCCCTATCTACTGTAATAACAACTCATGTATATATTCTCTCAATTTGTTACTCATGTATCACTTCTTGACAACGACATTAGAACTTATGTCGAAACGTCGCCTCCACAGAATAAAAGAAGTTGTATATCCATAATAATTGTCATTATTCTTCATCAACTCAACTTCTAAAATGCCCATCAAAGAAGTACTGTTGGCAAAGAAAAGTGTCCTGAAAGAGTTTACATGTGATAATATTGATTGTATGAGTAACTGTTCATTTCTTTATTTTAGGTGCAGAATGAAGAAGGAAAGTAAGTAAATCTATTCTGTACTCATTTCAGTTACCAATACGTAGTTCAAGTGTATAGAGTACAGCTCTGTTAGTCTATCATCGCATTGTGTCTTTAAGTCACCCAGTTAAGATCTGTCGGATTTCCATTATAAATTTGGTGACATATTATTGGCGTAAAGATGCCACAAAAAAATATCATTTGATCAGGGTCGGCGACTTTCTGAGTTGCCTTCTTTGGTATGTTTATGTATGTTTGGTATGTTCTGATATCACCGACCTGTTGTGTGTTATGTGTTGCCGTGATCATATAACTTAACATGTCTTTACAATAACCCACACATTTGCCTTAACAGATGCATATATACCCCCAAAACATCACAGCGGGAAATCCTATATTTGAAAATATGGATTGCCCTAATTTTGTTGTTGCATTAGTTTGGTATATACTTCAGAGCAGTCATGACATATGAACATAGAACAGATAACCTGAATTAATACATCTCACTTCCTTTCTGGTCTTCAGGTCAACGTGACCCCGACGTTGAGGTGGGATTTCTCCCAGGTATGTCAAACATTGAAAAATATAATTATCTCTTTTCAAAGCTTACAACATCCATCATTGTTCTTGGGTAGAGCCTTCCGCCATCGAATGCAGTGTAGCAGCAGCAGCATCCGACATTGCTCAATAAACACCACCCTCAGCATCACCAAAGCCGGAAATACTTGACCATTTAACGTGGACAGTCCCAGTTCTCTCTGCTAGATGTTAGATATGTGTAATAATTATCTTTCTTTGTCCACGATCGTTTGTGACCTTTTTCTTAACGGACCAATTAAATATCTACGGACTACATGTGGGACGGTTTGACCCAGTGATGTTCCATGTCTATGATTACACTTAACTGCTTTAGAAAATGATTCCACAACAATCACATTCCAGGTCACAACCAAAGTTTATCCTTATATAGGTATATGTTTCCTATCCTGTTTAAGACGAAATACAATACGATACGTTCAAATCCAGACCGGTCACAGCTCCAGAGTCGATACTCGTTCACGGCTAACAGACCGTCACAACATAGCTGCAATATTGCCGAGTGCGGCGTTAAACAACAAACAAATACGGTCCAGTAGGGGGATTTTGACATATTTTACTAACGCTTCTTGCAGATTCTTCACGCAACAACCGTACGCGGGTTCGAAAAGGGGAACACCAGAAATGGGCTTCACACATCGTACCAATGTTGGGAATCGAACACAGGTCTTCGGCGTGATGAGCGAACGCTTTAAATACTAGGCTACACCACTACCCCCACACTTGTTAAATAATTATTGTTAACACATCCACAACAGCAGTATGGCGTGGTTAATCTAGGGTCTTAATTGTCTTTTTGAGGCATTCGAGATTTCAATATTTCGATTAAAATGCTTCCGCCAACCTATAATGTCTTGCTGTATATTGCACGATAATATTAATAGTATTTATGATATACTAGGTTTGTATAAACTATGTGATAGTCTGGTAGTTTACTGTCCTTTTTTGACAGGCATTTATGTACTAGAATGTATTCATTCCTTGAAGCTTCATTAGTCACGATATCAATAGACAATTTTTGAGTATAATTTCTCGGTATTTAATGACAAATATGTGCACTCTAATTTCTCCCAAACGCATCTTGTGGTAATGGAAAGATCATAACTTTGAAGTCTTTGGAGGCATGATTGTTGTAACTGGCAGGGTTTTAGCATTATGTTAAAGAAAAGACGTGTAACGAGGTCAACACACCAAGTTCTTTTCACCAATGTTTTCTGCATATACCCTCGTTAAGTTTCAGAATCATTGCAAGCCAATAGATTTACATACACAATGAAACAACATGACAAAGTCAATGGCTGCCTCGGATGCTCGAAGAATTGTGATTTTTCGATTCGGAGCCAAACTCCTTGCTCAGAAGTTATTCCGCTAACTTTCTTGTATATGACTATATGTATATTGGTCACCTCACATTACAAGAAGACCAGAATTTGCCATTAGTGGTCATCTCGTGTTATTCCCGGTCAAGCCAAATACCGACTCGGGTCCCACTGGAAGGATTTCATATTGGCGTATGAACTCAAACAAGATAAACAACTCTACTGCTGTTTAATTCCAACAGTACTAAACATTACCGGCGCACTCTAAAATTGTTGCCTATAAAAGATTTAGTCTGTTTAAAGCAATAATGATGATGATGATGATGATGATGTTCATGATGATTTGATGAAAACATATTCTAATGTAATATTTTCAGCTGCTCCCACATTATATATCCAAATATGTTTTCCTAAAAAGTAGCAAATGGGATTTTCTTCTTCCTTCTATTTCAGCTGAAATTAATCCAAAATATATACACAAAAATGACTTCAATGCATATGTCAAACTTAGGAATTGGTGAATAGTCCTATCGTGATTTAGTGCACGATTTCTACCAGTAATCTGAACTTGCATGTAAACCTTGTTACCTAAATTCCACCCCTTGTGGAATTTACAATGAACACGCTGAGAACTTCTGAAGGACCTGAAAATGTCAGTCTGAAATATGCCCAGTGAAGTGATGTGTACGCAGGGTGTTTACTTTGCTTAGTTACATAGAAATATATTATTTGAAACTCGTAACTGTCAATAATTACATTAATTAAAAAACGTCGCACGTAAAATCTGCCAAGCAAGACCGCAAGATCGTCCGAGAAAACACTCAGTTGGAAACACGAGAAATGTTATGTTACGTGTATTGGAGCCGTTGATGGCCCTATCCGTATTAAAGAAATGAAGCAACAAAGGTATGTTAGTTATATTCTTTGTAGATGCAAAATGAAGATATATATTTTTCATCGTTTCTTAAACAACCATATAATGCCATAGCCGATTTATGTACTCCAGACTATATGTTGATCAAAGTCCATCCGTCCTTACGCGCATTCTGACTGGTTTCAAGACAAGAAGACAAAGTCATCAATATCCCCCCCAACGGCAAAATACTCTTTATGAATATGTCTACTAGTTATGATTATGTCAAATGTTTTGGAATGTATACAGCAAAGTGGAAGGAGAGTATTGAAAGGTTTTTAAAGGAGAATACGAACGAAAACAAAAGTTTTTGATATATTGTAAATGGATTTTCTAAAAGTCACCTTCTGTGTTTAAAGTTGAACAAAGAGTTTGTAAAATAGCAATAAAACACAAAAACGTACTCGTATTTCCCCTATTACGGAAACAACCATACAGTTAATGACGTCATATGTGCCTGTTGCTGATGGCTTCCTCTCTGATTTTACCTCACAACTTAACAGTGTCCATGGATTCTGAATCAGTAAAAGATGTTCCTGATGTCATTTCTGAAATGGATGTTACACGGTATCAATACGAGTCGGTTTTACATCTTGCAAGACAATCTTCCAGTGAAGATGATGAAGAAGAATCAAGCGAAACGGAGGCACCGTTATATCTAAGTTGACAAAACTATGCATTTATGGCCTATATTTAATCATTTTAAATAAATTGGGGCATTTTGACTACTCCTGGGGCAATTTGTCACGGAGGCAATTCGATTGGCAATCGGACTATATTTATTTATGTTACAAATACCACTGACAGTAAGTTGTAACAGGGAATGATGGAGTTTAAATGAATATCGTGGGTACTGAATCTCTTCCTTCTTCCAGCCTAGCTTTGGGATTTTCATACCCCATGTGTGCATGTCTCTCTTTCATATGCATCCGACTCGGAATGATCGGAGCATTTCTCCTGCCTAAATCTGCCTCTTTACTTGGAAAACGGAAGAAATGGTGTCTCTTTCCATTGTTCGATGATTCTGTGCATCCCCAGGCAACGGAATACACCATCGTACAATTTACAAAAACGACAGAAACAACACGATTTGTATTACTTTAGCGCTTGTTCTTTAGCAATCTGGCGGACGCTAGTCACATATGACGTCACGAGCGGAAAGGTCACGTGGGTTCCCGCGGAATATGCATTATGGCCGAAGCTCAGATAACAGAAACTGTTTTAAAAACATAATAAAAGATATGTTTTGAATAAAAATTGGGGTACATGTATCTGATTTTATCTTTATCTTTCAAATTATTGCAATTGTTTAGTATTGTCCTTTAAGATCTGCTCCAGAAAGGAGCACTACCAACAAAATTCAGTTGAAGCCTAACTTGTTGCCATTGAAATGCAACAAGATGACATCCTCATAGTCACAGCCTAAGTCATGTTTCCATGGAAACAGCAAAACATAAAATTCATATCTGGGTCTAACCCCCTAAAAGGCACATCTAGGGATCATGCTTGATATGTGTACCAAGTTTGATGAAGCTAGCATGTATAGTCTAGGAGATCTGCTCCGGACAAGATGACATCCTCATAGCCACAGCCTAAGTCATGTTTCCATGGAAACAGCAAAAAATAAAATTCATATCTGGGTCTAACCCCAAAAAGGCACATCCATTGATCATAGTTCACATGTGTACCACGTTTGGTAGAGCTATCACAAATTGTTTAGGAGATATGCTTCGGACAAAGTGTGACCGATGCACGGACGGACGGAACTCGTTTCCATATCCCTTCTTGCGGGGGATAATAACTGATTCTATCAACTTCTAAGGTCTTAGACTCTGTCCTCTCCAAATGATAGTCTTTACGTTGAAGCAGATGAGCCTTCTCTTTACCAACGCCGTATTAAACTCTCCTTGCACTGTGTCAAAAAAACCATCATCTAATGAATCCAACCATGCATACACTTGTGTTATTAAAACTCTTCACGTGTTCCACCTTGGAATACGAATTAATCCTTTCCTTTCTGCTGCTAACATTGAGCTAGAAATCGTATCTCCTCATTGCCTTCTTTCTTCTCCTTAGCAATTGGTGAGGACACAAGTTAAATACTGACTACCTTGAAAAATCAGACACAAATGAATTGGAGTATAAACAATAACTTAATAACATAAGAAGTAAGTATAATATATATTTACTTATTTACAGATGAATCCAAGAACAGTGACGCTGTTGCTTGTGCCACCATCATTAGATCCAGAACAATATTCTAGATTACTAGATTTCAAAGTTAATCATTGCCTTTTTATAAGATATAGAGTAATTGGATAAATTTTGATTACAGCTGTTTAATTACATAAATATGGTATAATTAGTAGTTTTTATTATCAGCTAATATTGTTAAGCGCAGTATCCTCAGGGGCTTAAAGTATTGTAAAATTATTGTCCTCCTAAGAGGGTACATAAATCCAAAAACATTCAGATTTATCAAACAGAAACAGAAAAAAAACCAGAAGTAGTGCCTTTTGCTATATGCCGGGTTTTTTGGTATTTGTAAAATATCAATAAAAACGATTTTTACTTTGTCTCAAAAAGGTGGGGATTGTTTTAACCAAGGGTTGAATTGGTGCATTTTGCTATTTAGGAATATGGTGAAAATGTTCTTTTTTATGTTTCCATGACAACAAGTTTCACTTTGACCCTGTTAATAGTGGTATGCTTGACTGGACCATGGCCTCCTTTCACATAGCACTAAGGTGATCGTAAGTCACCAAGGTAATCTTAGTGCAATGTTAAAGAATGGGAGTAAAGGTTG